TTTAAACTTCTAGTTGTAACATACAGGGCTCAAGCCTAGAAATAGACATACCTGATATGGAGATGGGAAATTTCAAGGTTCGCAATGAAATGCTAAAAGCCAGAGATCATTCTTTACCACACAAAGCAAGCCTTCAGAGTTCTTTAGGAAAAAAATATTTCAAGAAAGGATAACTTCAAAGTTTTAGAATTATAGATAATCAATTTTAAAGTTTTATGCAAGTGATACATTTTCAAATAAGTTTCTGAGCAAGTCACAGAATATTTTTAAAACCTATAAAAACAGATGTCTATCATCTCTTTCACAAAATACATACCCAGATTTAAAGATTAGCTTCATCTGACACAGTCATGTCACTTCTCAAAAGAAAATTCAAACAAAAAAAAAAAAAACCCTAGAAAAACACAAAATTCTTTTCAAGTAATGCACAAGTACAGGAGTACCACCTACAAATCTATAATCATTTACTTGCAAGTAGAGTAAGCGTACACCAAAAAAATATATCACAAAGTTAGTCACGGGGTAAGGGGAAAAGAAATAGGATTAGCGCATAACTATGCCCAAGTCCCACATACCCCAACCAGCACCCAGCTGCTAAGGTGATCTCTGGGTCTGCCTGGTTGGGACTATGTGGCTGTTGCCTGTTTGTTTGTTTGTTTCCATTCTGAAATACATAGAACTGAATAACTGGACGCAATGGAGAATGACTAAATTACTTTCTTAAAGGACTATGACACGGAAGGAAGGAAGGAAGGAAGGAAGGAAGGAAGGAAGGAAGGAAGGAAAAGAAATAAAAATGAAATGAAAAGGAAAGGAAAACCCTATAAAATGAGACAGACAAGTAATGGAAGAAAGAGGAGAGAAAACATCAACATTAATCAACATTGTGCACACAAGAAAGAAAGAGTTTGAGTATAATCAAACTTTGTCCAAAGGTGTGGAAAGGGTGTCTCTAAATTAGGACTTAATTATATTTCCACTTATGTGACCAACTAAGGCCGAAATTCTTTAAATTTTTTAAAATATTGGACTAATGAGTCTCTCTAAAACTGCCCTGGAAGTGATTCCATTAAATTAGAGATGCATTTATAATGTCATATTGTGCTGTTGCATATTTGTGACCCTTAGTAACAAACTGACTTCCCAGTCCCTCATACCTATTACACTTTGATCATCCAGCCCCAACCCTAAGTCACTATGAATCACAGTTGCTAAAATTCTTCCAAAGCACACAATGTGGTATAAATGTCTTGAACTCAAGTGCTTCCAGGATTTAAAATATATATATTTTGTTGTTTGGTACTGGAAATTAAACTCAGGGCCCTGCACTTGCTAGGCAGGCACTGTGCCACCGAGCTACATCCCCAGCCCTGGATTTAAATTTCTTTACCCACAATAATTTTCTAAATGAAAATTTGCCTCTAATTTTTTTCTTTCTCAAGCTCAAAAAAGTTAACTGCTCAATAAATAAAGACTAACAACTAAGCAAGTTTTTGCAAAGGACATCTGATTGAACAGACTTTTCATACACTGGCTGATGTGTTGGTTTATTCCTATTCCCAAAACATAAATTTCAGTGATCTTCATTAAAATGTGGCTTTTCCTCTAATACATGAGTGAGGCAGAGCTACACCACTGCTGCATTGATAATGGCAATGATAAACTAGTAGCAGATCATTAGATTTTTCCCTCTGTGCCCCAACTGGTTCCATCCCAGGACAGATTGACACAGCCTTCCAGGCTTTCTGTCGTGCATTATTTACAAATTAAGAAGAAAAATTTTCACTCTTTGACTTCACATGTCTAAAATGTCAAACCATTACAAATGGAAGCCACTACCACAGTCTCTTCCTCAAAGGGTAACAAATCAGATACATAAGGACTCAGCCACACAAACTTTCAAAGAAAAAAATCCTTCCCATAGTTTAGTAAGTGACACTTAACCAATGAGTAAATTCTTCACTTTTAGGACTAAAGTCAAATCAGCTGGCTTTCTGAATGCCACCCAAGAACCAACAACCTCTCTTACCCCAGTTGGTCATGGAAGTCTGATCAAGAGAGGATTTCAGATCCCCCAGACAGCTGGGAGGCCTGTTTCTGGAGAGTCCCAGGGCAAGGCCTGCTCATGCCAGCAGGTCTTCCCCAAATAGGAGAAGAAAGGTGAGGTTTCCACACTCACCACAAGTGACTACAAGGGCAGCTTACCTCAAGTTGCTTTAAATATTGGGGATAAACTGTTCAGTCCAGACAGCAATAGAGTTAGAATCCTTACTCCAAATAAACTAGTTGCAGTTGAGAATTTTAGTGGAACAGCAACAAACTTGCCCACATTTTCTCCAATGCACAGGGACCGCCAGCCCTTGTTTCCTCTTACTGCAACTCAAGCATCCTGTGCCTTAGCACATCACCTTGACACTACATCACACGGCTTAAGTATGAAAGTTCAAATGAGAATTTCCATTATAAATGTTTCTACTACCAAAGTGTAAAAACACATTTGAAAATGTGCTATTTGCTGTGACTCGGGTGTGGCGGGGGAGCCGAACAAGCCTCCCATCACATCTTTTACCTCTGGGACTGACAACAGCGTGAAAAGTAACATTTTAAAAGTGCGTGATGATTTCATACTTAAATTGTTTCTTAAACAGTGCACATTGAGCATGTGGTGTCATAAGATTAACTTCTCTAAAATTTTCATACAGTAGCTGTCATCTTTCATGCAGGTCAAACAATAAGATTTTTACTAAAAAGTGAATCCTTCTAAAGTAGTTACATAATGAAATGTAGGGCTAAGGAACTGAAGTTTACAATAAATTTTTCAGAATACCAACATTTAAAAGGTTAATAACGCATTCCATTTTCATTTTATATGGTCTTTTCTCTGTCTTTATAGAGCTTCTCAAATTCTAAAAAGTGACTTGGTAATGCAGGGACTCACAAGTACAAGAAACAGTCGATGTTTTTTTTTTTTTTAGACCACTGATAGACCCATATAGATGTTAACTTTTCAATTTAAATTGCCTACAACCATTTAAAAAATAAAACAAATTTCTCAACATCTATTTCTATATTTTGTGCATTATTCCTCTGCAATAGGACTATGGATGAGCATGAAATGGGGAGCAAGGTGTACTAGGCAGAGAATTAAGAGTTAACTGCTGCTGACTACTTTTCTGGATCTATTCCTCTCCCCATCCAGAATAAAAGGAACCAACTTTGCTCAGAGATCCACCCCTCCTGCTGACCCCTATTGGAAGTTCTAGACACTGACAGAAATTTCATCAAACTAATTTTCCATTCTGGAACTCCAATGGGGACACCATGTCGTGGAGCCTGGAACATTAGCACAAGTAGGCAGTCCAGCGACATAAGCTTTTTCCCTCTGTGCCCCAGAACACTGGGTCCTTCCCAGGACACACTGACACAGCCTTCCAGGCTTTCCACTGTCTTGTCCCCAGTTGCCCTGCCAGCCCATTTCCCTGGGAATACGTCTGCTCCAGGAGCTCCCAGGTTGGCCTTTCAAGAATATGCTCCTGCATTTTCCCCTTCATATCCATCTTGCAGGCAGTTCCTTTGGCTACAAAAGCCTACCCCCTCCCATACACGGGCAACTCAAATTCTCCTCAAGGTCCAGATCAAAACACAAGTGTTTTCATGGAATGTTCCTTGATATCCCCATTAACCAATGCAGCATATATCCTTTGCATTATAAATTACTTGTGCACGCTCATAGCCTGTCTTAAAACTGCAAACTCCTTAAAGGCTACAGAAAAACACCAGTGTATCTCTGTCCCCCACTAATCTTTCTCCACCAGATACGGACAGGCAGAGTGGTAGCTTTGTAAATATTTGTTGAACAAATGAACACATTTTTGTGGTAAAAAGTGCCTCTACAGAACATATTATCAAAAAGATTGAAATGTACTTGTTGGTCTTTAAAAACATTCCAGCATGGCTTAGGAATAGTTCTGCTGAAAGCAAAAGAATAAATCAGATGACCTTTTAAGGCTGATTCTGTGGATTACTTCAACTTTTTGAAAGTACTGCCTAATAATTCAAAAATAAACTGTACACATATAGTATTTACAAAAAGTGACTAAAATGTCTTGTAATATAGGGTTTTAACAAGATTTTTTTTACCAAAACTTTGAGCATGCTCTCATGGTAATATGTATTAAATTTTCGATTATGTTCCAAGACTGTATAAAAAGCCTATTCATTCTCTTATTTCACACTTAAATGAGAGAAAAACACTGGCCCACGGAAATGGTAACCAGTCAAAATTAATTTGCAAGCACAGCACAAGTTCATGAAATGTACATATTGATGTGACACACATTGTCACTGCAATATACATACTGACATCCAGGAAAGTTACTTGTAACGTTGATAGCTACATCTTCACTAGATGCTGCAGAGAAGGTATACAAAAAGTTTAGATATTCCTTTCTGCACTAATAAATCTGCACGATTTAAATTGACTAAATTAGGTTATTTCACAATCTACTTGGCATGTAATCAGTTCAAATAAGGCCATAAAATGACTGGACACAATACTGATATCTCTAGAAAGAAACAGCTTAACCACAACACTTCATAAATCACCAAACTTGCTTGCTCAATAAAGGGGTTAACAAAAACCCTTCAGAATAAATCTCAGTAAACCTCAGCAATGAGTTAAATGGGCGAGAAAAACTGAGTCCCCGCACAAAGCACACAGGAAAGCAGACTACAGTTTATACAGTGTTCACCTATGACAGCTACTCTGAGGTAATAAAATTTAAGAAAAAATAAATAGCGTAGAAAATTACATTGTAATAGTAAATGCTTTTAAACCGTTAACAAGAAACTAAGATCATTTTGTTGTCCTAGTGCTGTTACAGTCTGTATCCGGGGAGAGAAATCCTTCAGAGATGAAGCTACGGTGTAAATAAGCTGCTTTCTAACGTAATGACCGCATTAAGTGAAGTAGCTACCACAAATATTTTCAAAGCGTGCACTTGCTTCTGGAAGGCTATGGTACAGCTTCCCCTTAAAGTTTTCCCGGCGCCTCCTGCTAACGGAATCCGAGTCTGCACCGCTCTAGCTGCACGAGGGCGTGCGGGAGTTCCGTTATCTGAAGGCTCGGGAGCCACCCGCGCCGCGGAGGTGCGGGCGTCGGGTTACCTCGGCCGG